TTGTCAATTTAGTAAAGTCAACTAAGTTTCCAAGTACACAAGTAATATAGGTACAATATTGGTAAAATGCTTAGAACTTGTTCTCTTACTTGAACAAGAAAAATGAAGTCTTACTGTAGGATTTTTGGGAAGTCATTTATATAGTGTCCTGTGTTTAGCCTTGCCAAAACAGTCTTGTCCAAGGGCCTCCATTTCTCCTATTTACTCTTCACAGCTTTTAAAAATAGACATCTTCAGAGAAAAGGAAATTTGATCTTTAGAATTACAAAATCTAAAAATAAAAAGGGAGGTACATATAATTTTAACTCTATCATCAAACTCTGTCATTTAAGTCTATCTAATCTGCTTAGCATCTACATTTTATGATGTTTCCATGATGTTGCATTATGGGGTATTTCATTCACATTTCATTCACAGAATGACTTAAACAAGAATATGGCAGCAGTCATCTGAACATGGAATTTTATCAGGAGTTAAACAGATCTGCTTTGTCATATTTATTTACTCTGTTGTATGATTCTATGAGTTATGTAGAGAAAATATCTTTATTATGGAGACATCCTTGAAGAATTTAAATCATGACCTAACAGTAGTAACTCTGTTACACTGATGGCTGTCAGGCAGGGCAAACAAAAGCCAGGAGGTCTTACTCACTTTCCATTTGAGCAGTGAAGTGTCACTTAATTTTCTGTATCTATCAAGCAGCTGAGGCTATTCAATTCGTTTATCACAAGCTAGTGCCATGCTAACATGGTAGAGCTCTAATTATGGACAGATTAAAAGATGCATAGGATACACCTCAACTCTACTGTGGAGATGTAATCTAGAAAAAGGACTGGAGGATTTCCCATATCAAACCATACCTCTGAGGAAGGAGTTTACATTAATACAGGTTTTACATTACAATTTACAGTTTACAATTACAGGTGTAATTGGGCTAACTTATGAAGTGGGAAGTCAGTTTTCATTCTCAAACACTGCTTTTTACAGCTCTACAGTAAGTAAGTAAGAGAACAACTTCTGGCAAGAAGCAGAACTGTCCAAAAGCCCATACATGCTTATTCTGTTTTCCATCAAAACAGTTTTGCAGGGTAATTCTCACCTGTCCATGTATCCTCTGAGGCTTTTGCTGATGCATCTGACTGCACTGTGGAAGGCTCACAGGTTCAAAGCCTGCCTTCTACTTTTATGTTTTCATTTGACATTTATTCCCAGCCTTTCAGGACTTATGAGTTCTAATATTATAATTATTCAAGTTACATCTTTAAAGTCAGTTTTTCTATCTTTTTAAATATGCTAAATAATAAACAAAGAAATGAAAGTCTTGTGCACTGATATGCAAATTGGCACAGGTTGCTGCTCTGTAATTGCAATAGACTAGTCAGAAATGTTCAAATATCATCACATTTCCAGTTCCATATACGTGCTCTGTTAGTTTAGTGTAAACATACTGGCATATGAGGAGGACCTGACCACAGGTATTAAATGGCCTGACTACATAGATCTTATCCCAGCAACGGTATTTTGCTGCTGCTTAAATAGAAGCATTTTTTTTTTCCCCAAGAGACAGACAAACTTCTGGGAATTCAATGCAGGAACAAATTCCTTCAAAGTCCTTCACATAATTGAAACTCTTTTAAAAAAGACACAAGTTTTGCACTTAAAAGCTTCTCCCACTCTTCTCATACCACTCTTCTCTTTCTCACAGAAAAAGATAGAAAATATTTTAACTATGCAGCAGCTAGAAGTAGTAGTGGAAATTTGCTGCTTTGCCACAAGGTTTTGCAGTGGTTTGTGGGCTCCATTTAGTATTTCTTTGAGTTTTAACTTCCTGTCTGCAAAATGGTACTTCTCTACCTCACTAGGGAAGATAGGTAAGAAGGCCATATACATAAATGTTATGAAAGACTGATATATTAACAAAAGCTGCAATGGGTAAGTAACCCAGATGGATATTTAATTTACGTTATGATGATTTTTTAAAATAAATTATAATTAACATGAGAATACTCTAGTATTCTAGTGAATTTCAATGAATGTCAGAATACTCTAATACCAAACTACTCTAGTAATAACAAATGTAAGAATAGTATGAGTACTTCTAATGTCACAGGAAATTCTTTATACTCACAGGGTATCATTTTGTAATACTTTACTTTTACTTTAAATACTTAAAAAAAAGTGAAAAAGGGGAGAAAAGAAGAAGCCTGTAATATAACAAAGTGACACTGCAGGCAGGATGTGAGCAGCGTCAGAATATATAAAACTATGAGCACACTTTCACTGGTTAGCCAAAAACACTCATATTCATTTGACCCTCTTTCTCTTTTTGAAAATGGATTTAGATTTTGGGTACTTACTGACTTGGATTACCTACTGGTTGAGCATTTCAGTCTGTCTCATCTCTGAGTTCATCAACCAGGACCAATCCTTTCCCTGTAGTCCTCTGATTACATTATTATTCCAGAACTAAATTACATAGGAATAAAAATGACAACAAAATAAACAAACAACTTAGAAATGTTAACTTTCAGAAAGATATGTAGGATTAGATTATTTTTAAGAGGAAAAAAAGAATACTGTCACTCAAAGACTTTTCTATTGCTTTCACCCTTGTTATGCTCCTACATTCAGCTGTCATCAGCTCTTTTTTTAAAGCATTACTCTTATACGTTTCAGTCGCAGTGGTATTTTGGTCAAACTGATCATGACATGAGCGAGAAGCATTCATGTAATTTTTAGCATCTCCTTGAGTCACACTCCAGACATGCAGTTTCTTCTCATGTAGTGTATGAACATTATCTAACACCCATTTGGGATGATGACTAAATATGCTCAGCTCCCTCCTTGGAGCTCTTCAGATGTGGGCATTGTAAAATCTTAATACAGGGTTATCACAGTTCAAATCATTTTGAATTGCTTGTGGAAAGCACATCCTAAGGTCTTCTGTGCCTATTTGATTTGCATATTTTATGCTTTATTGCAATCAAACATCCTGCTACTGTAGTTAGCTTTCTCCAGTAAACACACAAAAGAAAAAAAAGGGCAGAAATGTTGACTGTACCTTCCTGACTCCATTTCTCTTTGTTCAAGCCAGTACCTTCTCCAGCTTTGAGATGTTCAAAGGAATATATATATATATTCCTTTGAATAGGAATAGGAATATATATAGGAATAGGAAAAGGAATATATATATATATATATATACACACACACAGAGAGGGAGAGGGAGGGAGGGAGGGAGAGAGGGAGAGGGAGAAAGAGAGAGGGAGAGAGAATTTAGTTAAGTTAAAGTCTGCTTCTGTAATCCCAGAAAAATACATTAAAAAAAGTTTAAAATTAAATGATCTGACAGGCCACATACAGCCTCACAGGAGTGAAGAGGCGTCCCCTGCTGACAAGTTTAATGAAGTTTTATATGGTCAACTGTTTCCTGTTGTGTACCATATCAGCGATACTCTATATACATATAGACATTAAATCCATCTCCTCTCCCTGCAAGTGTAGGGGAATAGTTTAGACTTGAACATCTTTTTAATAGTCTTGGAGGAATATTTTCACATGGGAACCTCTCATCTCACATAAAAACTGTTCTTTGAAGGGTTAGGATGTTTCTCTAGAAATATTCATACACTGAGTTCTTCCAGCAATGCTTTGGTCTTCTTGCAGGTTTGGAAAGGCTGAACAAAATTGACTTCACAGTGAAATTTTCCAGAGCAATAATAAATATCGCAGGACTGTTCTTGTTTAATAATTTCTTAATATTATTCTCTTAATAAACCCAAGGTAAAAAATGATCAGTGACTAAAAAGTTAACATTTGAACAGACCAGCTTATTGATTTTACTATTCCTAGAGTCAAATTTAGAAAGGAGGAAAAAAAAGAAGAAAAAAAAACAATTATCAAGACAAAAAACACATGATCAAATTCCATACAGGGATAACGCGTCTGATCATTTCATGAAATGCATGTACTGAAGGGGCAAGAAATAGAGGCATTTCTGACACAGAACTTTACCTGTTCGAATGTACTTTGAGCTGTAGCTTTATCCAGACAAGAGCAAACAAGCTGTCTGCATTTCTTTATCCATGTTTACTGGAGGCCCTCCTCCGCAGCTGCCCTGCTTTTGCTTTATGGAGATTTTCCTAAATTTCAGCAAGTGCAAGTCTGAATAAACACATGTACATAACACAATTTTACTTGGTTTAACTTGAAGCTCAAAGCTAGTGGCTGTGTTCTACTAAAGTAATCATTTCTCTATTACTTTTAATCAAATAGCAACCATCCATACAATAAAGTTCTTGGAAGATGATTTGACTAAAAGTGCAAACATTTAATGTGAAATGAGTCTTAATTAGCTGCATTTCAAGTTTCCAGAGTTGTATGTCAGGTTAAAAATGAGAGTCACAAAAACAGGCACCTTCTATGTTATGATCAGTTTCACAGCATAGTCACGACACTGCAAACGAGAACTTGTTTCGATTTTCCTTGATGTATATATGCTTACCTGCTATTTCATTCATTTTCCATTAATTTAAAATTGTAGTTGATAAGCTAGGTAATTAAATTTCAATACGGTTTTAGTTTTGGAAAATAAAACACATTCTGCTGCAATATCAATAAACAATGGAAATGTATAGTCAATTCTGCAATAAGTCTCCATTAAACAAATACTATATTGTTTAAAGCTAATTAGAACAGAATATATCTAATTACAATGTTATTCATATTGCTTATAATCATTTTTATAGAGTAAAAGTAATGCACATTTAACATTAAAAAATAAGCAAATATTATTTTTTTAAATAAAAAAATTATTTCCCTGATGAGGACCAGATTAAAAAACTCTTTTTGAATTTTTTTCTGTTCTTCAGATATATATCATTGAAAATAAAATTGGCAAAAAAAGAAGTATTCATAGCGCTCATTACTGTAAAGATTTGAAAAGGCAGGCACCTATTTCCTAGTGAGGAAGTATCATGTCTGATTGTATTTACAGCAGGTTGTCCCAAAACTGTAAGACGACTAGCAGAAGAGAACACTCCCGCGAGTGGTAACTCACCGCTGGACTTCCAGGACACTGTCTCGCTGAAAGAAAGGATGGCTATGTACCAGGCTGCTGTGTCCAAGGTAGAGAGCAGCAGCTCCTTCGCTAATGTAAGATATCAACATTTACCCTCTTAATTCTCTATTTGTTTTACATAATGACCTCTCTTGCATTCTTTATTCATCCATCCTGTCAGATTGATCTCCGCATGGATTAAATTTGAAACCTATATTACTATATCTACCTAGAAAATAAACTGATACGCTTGTATCTCCCCCTATTCAATATGGATTTTTTTGTATACGATACCTCTACACTTTTGGCATGTTCGTTTCAATTCACTAGAAGTACCTTTTTTTCTGTACCATACAATACTTGACAAACAGTGCTTATACTTCATTAAAATAGAGATTGCAAATGTCATTGCACCTCTTCAAGTTCTTTTTGGATGGAATTTACTACCTCTAGTCGAAAAGATTCAATCCAAATTCCATACATGTTTCAAATAAGTCCTTTCATTCTCTGAATCTCAATTTTTAAGTTCTGTACAGAGGTCTTTGAACTTGTAAGCAACAGTACTTACCCTTGTCTGCTTTCTGCTGATGACTAATTCTTGCAAACACAGAGATTACATTACTGAATATACACGACAAATCGCTAAAAACTACAGAAGAAATCACTGGGTCCTTAGGCATCTATTTAGATAGAGATGAATATGCAGCTAGAACAACAGGATCTATTTCACACGGAATAATTTAGCAGTTAAATAAATTCTAGATTGTAAAATTCCAAAAGAACTTCAAAATTCGCAAGTCATTTTGCTTGATAAGTAGAAGTCCTAATAGGCCAAAGAAATTTAACAGATAATCTGAAGAGTACAAATATGCTCTACTCTGATAACAGCCTTGTAAAATACTTGCCTTATTATTATACCTATTACAATGCTAATATTAATTCATATATTATTAAAATAGATCTGCAGATTATATCAGTTGAAGTTGCATATAAAAGGCTAGGGACATAACTATGTGCTTCCAAATTTTCTTATTTCAATTAATAAGCATTCTAGTGTGTTGCTATTAAATATTAAAAAAAATTATAAAAGTGTATTCTTCCTGCAAATGAAAAACAACCATCCATATTTTATTACACTAGGCTTCAGAGGAAACAGAGTCATGTACCGTGCCTGGCGGCCTTGCAAGAGTAAAGAAACAGTTTGAGAAAGGCCAGATGACCTCAGCACAAAACGCCTTTGCTCAGTACCAGCACAAGTCTGTACAGGTAAGAACAAGATTTTTAGTACTAACGAATGACGTAGGGCCTGCTAGACAGCTTGAGGGGAAAAATGTGATTATTTGTTTTACTGAACAGTTTCCGTTATAGCTAAGACATTGCAGAATTTTCTCTTCAAGATATACTGCCATGATATAGTAATCCTGTGGTAACCGTATGCTTCTTATGTAGATGAACTACTGCCATGACATAGTAATCCTGTGGTAACCAACCGTATGCTTCTTATGTAGATGAACTCTCAATGAAGACAATTCTAGACTTATAGAAAATATATAAGTAAAGCAGGCTAGCATTTGAGGAGTATTTTGTGCTGAACCTTGTCTGTAAGATTGTAAGTCATTATCAACTATTATGGTAATAGTTTGCATAAATTGCATTTGAAGTAATGTTAAACCATTTTCTTTGAAATGGAGTTTGCTGCTTCCATTGAATTAAATTTAATCAAGTCCTCTAAGAAGTTCAAAAATTGTATCAAAAAACTCAGATGCTACATAAAAATACAAAGAACAGCTTCCAAGTGTTATTTCAGATAAAGGGTCTTTGGATTTTATTACTTCATTAGCATATATCAGGAAAAAAATTGTTTCAGGAGTTAATGACTTTGGACTACCTGAAGTCTGATATAATAAAATTTAAAAAAACAGTAATGGCAGAGTAAATTGCTTTACCAACCTGCATTTATCTAAGAGTTTTAAAGTAATATAGCTTTCAAACTGTGTAGAAGAGGACACACCAACATTCTGCTACAGTTTTATTTTTGTGTTAAATAAGCATCATATCTGCTAGTTAACTTTGATATGTTATACACTAATATCATATCAAAATCCACAATCTGGGCACTCAACAAGCAAGGAGGAGAAACGGGTGTCTTCCTTTCATGAAGTATCCTTTTTATCCAAAAGCAGATTGATTTTGAAAAATGAGTAAATAAACTAAGTATAAGCGGCAGTATCTATTACATGTCTATTAGAAATTGGTCTTGCAAATAAAACATACAAAGGTATCTGTACACTGTAACTGATACTTTTACCAACCATTTTCTTTCACATAATGTCACATTTCTCCGTCTGCTACATACAAATATGTGTCATCTCTTGTGAGACTTAACAGTCATCTCTGTGCTGGTCGTAAGACCCTTGGTGATTCCATTCTGCAGGAGTTTTCCACATCTCTACACGGAACGGCAGAACTAAGCATCTTCACACTGACAAGAGCTGCTCCGGCAGCCCCTAGTCAGGCAAACGGCCCTGAACTGGGACCCAGCTCCTTGTCACATCACTCACATAACAGAATAGACTAAATCCATCCACAGGTTGCACTAATTTCACATAATTGACTTCAGGTGACGACAGTGTATTATAATGCACTGCAGAGTTAGATTGACCCTGTCAGCAGAGGTATGCTGATTGATGCTGTCCTGGCAACAGGGGCCTTAACTGATTAGAGTGGTCTAAAGCCAAACTGAAGAACATTTGTTACACTTCTGGCAATATTTTAAAAGTTACAAATAATTATACTTCAAGGACAAAATATATTTGGATATAAACAGAGATGTTATTTGTCATGGTGCACTGTGAAATGGGGAATATGCTAATGAGGGTCTATGAATTTCTCTATGGTTGGTATCTCCCTAAATGACTTGGATTAACAGAAAGTAGAATTTATACGGTTTGTGAATACTACCAAACTGGAAGAGGTTGCGAGTTTCCTGGAAGGTAGAACTTCATTTCCAACTGGTAACTGCAGTGGTATGAAATCTGAAAGGCAGAATTCAATACGGCAAATAAAAAAACATCATGAAAGGAATAGTCAAAGTGCAAAAATATGAAATGACAATAATCAGCCAGAAACATGTGATGGTGGGCTATAGTTTCAGTAGAGTCTTTGACAAAAAATAAGGTCTTGGAATATATCAAGAGGAAGCATTACACACAAGAGAGGGATTATAAGTAATTTGTCCCAGCTCAGAAAAACCTCCCAAATGGGCTATAGATACTACAATAGCATTAAAAATTTATCTAGACAAATGCTGTTCAGAAAAAGTATCCATAATCCTTCTTCAGACTAGAAGGACAATCTATGAACTTCTTATCGGTCCATTCTATTCCTGCACTGATTTATTATTTAATTTGAGATTTCTTTAATACTTATGCACAAGGGGTCAGAGTTACATATGCACTTAGGCAAATCAGATTCATTTTGTCTTCTGAACACTTCACTTAGAACATAACATTTTCAAGTGCAATTTTGTTTTATACTGCTCCTTCTGAGGAATATACCATATTTGCCATTTTATTTCTTTTCTATTTCATTATATTTTCAGCCAGAGTCAAGAACTTTAAAATAAGTTTGCTATGTGAAAAGTCATGATTATCAAAACAATCTAAATCACTGGAGTTTCAAAAACTGGGCTGAAATATCTCAAGATGACATTTATTCTCATGAGATTTTCAGTTGTTCCTGCTTACTCAGCCTGGAAGGACAAGGAAAAAGTCTCTTGCCATGTCTCTAATACTTCTGCTGCACTGTTCAATACCTTTTAGAATACCAAAGTGTACACTCTGTGTGTGCATACTATATATGTACAAATTCAAAATGAAAATATGTAATATTATAATTAATAGATTATAAAGCATAACATACCAAACTATTGTAGCCTGATTAGGATCTGTGCCTCACAATGCTTCTGCTATAGTATAAATAGTATATGTAAAGTATACTCAAGAGAGTTTTAGGCTCTACTTTACTTATACAGTCTAACTACTATAGTAAAATTTCATCACAGAGAAAAAGAAGGATTTTTTGCTACATAAAAATTTTAAACAGAATGACTCTTCTGTCAGAACTTCCTATGTTCTTCTGAGAGCAGAGACTTTTCAACTCCATTGCAATATGGAGATTTACACTTGTAACTTGCATTAGCATCAACAGGACTCACTAAAATCTTGCACTGAATGGTGAGCAGCAATGAACACTGAGGAGGAATTGTGGTGTGCTCACCAACTCAGCCAGAGTTTGTGCAAAGATGTGGTCTTTAACTAGACTGCAGGATTTGTAAGTCCCTTTTATACTCAGCCACCAGGACACAAAGAGATTGTGATTTATTCACTATTAATGATTCTGAAAGTGCCAACCTACAATACTTTCCTATCTACTGGTCTGGAGCACAAAATGTGCTTATGCGTAAGAGATGCTGAACATTCAGCTTAGTGACCCACAGGCTGAGGAGTTAGGAAAGCAAAATAATTACTAAGTTTCCATAAACACTACTCAGAGAATTCCCTACATCAAAAGTACAAGTTGCTGTTCTTCACTGACAAAATATATAGATGGACAGTGTAAGTATTACATCAGTGACTGAAAAAAAAAAAATCCCTGAATCAGAAAAGAATTGCTACCAGCCATTCTGCAAATGAAAATAATTCCTTTCCTCTCGCCACGGAAGCTGTAAAATCACAGTCAGAACTGTTCTGAAGGGTACAACAGCTGCTCAGACAAAATCTCATTATCCCGTGTCAGACACGAGCACTTTCCAGCAAATGATCTTAACCTCCTACATAGGAAGGATGAGTGAAATACATCAAAAGCAGCTGATTCACACTCAACAATGCAGTACTGTGTTGGTGGTGGCACAGCTATAGCTAAATCTCCTGCTTTGAGGGTCATTCTAAAGACATCTTCACATTTCTAGGTATCCTAGACATCTAGGAGAGCAATTGCCCATTTTCTAGTGATTACAAGAGGGTAAACTGAATATGAACATGACGTTGTTAGAGAACGATTATTTGCCTAACCTTTTAGTGAAAACCTTCCACAGAGTGGTCAAAACAGCGTAAAAATAATACTAAGCAAGTTCAGAGATGAACTGCAGAATTAGTTTCTAATAAATCTTTTATAAGAAACAGATGACATTATGATAAGAACATTAGCGTGGAAAAAAAGATGCATAGATCTTGAAGAAGAAATGAAGATCTATTCCAAGTAAACCATCAGTTAGTCATTCTGTTGTTACTAGTTTTATAACCTACATTAAAGGCTGACAATTTACTTCTGCTGCTGACAAGAGGGAATTGCAAGTTTGTACATATGGATAGTTTAGGACCATTGTTTCAAAATATGCTAACACATGGTCACTGTATAGGACATCTTCACACAGCAGTTTTATGATGATCCTAGCGTATATGCACGTCCTAATAATGTCTTATTGCTCAATTAATACAAAGACACTTCCAACATTAGTTGGCTTTCTGTCCTAGAAATGGCTTTCAGACATGTGATCCTCATATTCTTTCCTTTTTTAATACATACAGAGCATATATAGAATGGTATCCTGTATATGAGAATATAGCCTTGTGTATACATTCAGATTCTCCAAACTTTTTTTTTTTTTTTAAGTTTTTTTTGTCTGTTGTCAGAACAAAGAGAAACTACAAAAATGTCAACACAAAAAAAGCAAACCTTGTTTAAAATACACAGGCATAGAATAAACAAATACTAACGGAAAAGTGATTCTCAGGGCACAGGAAAAACAACCCTAACCACTGTCTTTTCACTCCTGCAGCCAAAAAGGATACTGAGCTCTCTGCTTCTGTCCTCCCTGAATAGCTGAAGAGGAGTTGTTCTCACCTGACAGAACAACTTGTGATTGAGCAGAGACCTGACAAGTTTACACAAGTTTCAGGATTTTAGATGAAGTGTCTACCTGTTCATTTCCTAGCTGTAGTGTCCCACTTCACAACCCACCAAATCTTTATCTCATATTCTGCTGGGATGTATATGCAGGAATTATAAGTTATTTGCACAGCTCATTTGCTCCAGTACTAAAAAGCATTTGATTTATGTTATTAGTAATTTCCATATCTTTGTTTCCAATCCTTTGTTTTCAATGTTTCCAATATTTCCAGTTGTTTTCAATGCATATTATTTATCCTTAGAACTTGGTAGGCTTTTTAGAAGGCCTTTGTTATTGTATGATGTGATTTATACAAATTACACCGTATGAATACACCTTGTGATGCAAAACAACAAAAAAATCACTTAATCTATTCTAAATGATGTTCACTGCAATATAATCAACATTTAATTGCTACTATACAAAATAGCAATAATTATCTAAATTCTGATGACAGCTTGTGATAGCTGATTTTCAGACCTGAGATATTCAGACCAAAAGTAGCAAAAACTCCAAGAATTACCTTTTCATGAGATGACAGCTCCCCACAATTACACTGAATTGTTAACAGAATTTTTATCCACAAAATATAGTCATATAGTTTTATACTGTCATATAGTTTAATAATGCAGTTCATTTTAGCTTGTAATTAGTAAACACCTTGCTTGATTTAATAATGCATGATATAGCACAAATTGAATCTTCCACAGAATCAAATAGAGGGATAAACTACCCACAAACATAACTGCTAATTAGTATTAAATCTAGGATGCAATCCTCAGCCATTGACTAGATGCTCAAGGTTTTTTATCAGCATTTTATAAATGTAATTTCAATCAGCGCTTTTGAATCACACAAAAGATGGTAACTTCCAACTCTCCCTTCCTCCCTGCATACCCAGAGCAGGGCCACATTATTTTATTGTCAAAATTTGGCCCACAGTGATTAAGCTGCACTTTAGACAGCTATGGTTGTTAATATTAAAATATTATAACCTTTTGCAATATGGCAACTATTTCAAAAGCAGTATGGAACTTACAGCAAAAAGAAGCGATATTCAGATTAGATATGGTTTCTAACTACATTAAGCCTAATTATATTCATTTTTAACACCTTCACCATTCAAAGGACACACAGTAACCAAGACCAGTGTATTTTGTGTCTTACAAATGAGCTCTTCCAAGATTGACAGCCTGACTTACATATCTAAAACATCCACATTAGAAAAGTATATTACATGAAAAAACATAAATATATGGAAAAGCATATATGCATAAAATGAAAACCGTACACTACGTATACTCATTAAACAGAGAACAGATTGCACTTTTTTGTGAACCGCTTCTTTTCAAGTTAGTACGGAGGTCCCTCCTAAGTTCACTCTTGTGCAGTAACATGCTCATAGTTGTCACACACACAGAATGTGCAAGTGTAAATCATGCTCTATCTGGTTGTCCTAAGGCCTCACCTGTACTCTGACAGTTCAAACTTGGCAGTAGGATTAATTTGGGGATTGGTAACTCACAAAGTCATTCAGTGGGCCAGTAACTAGCAGATTTAGTCTACTTTTTGTTAGTATGACTTTAATCTTAATTTATTTTATAGTTGAACCAGACAATTTTATCACAGAGAGGAGGAATAAAGCTCAAATCTTGCAAAGGTGATACAGCTTTTCCAACACAGACAGTTGTCAGACTTCCAATACAATGGCAGCCCACATATTTTATACAATTTTCTGGTTAGCCTGTGAGTCAGCTTCCATAAACATAATCAGCATGTATTTTTGCATCTGAATATGCATATCATATATACAGGAAGCCACCATATCTAATATAGAGAAATTATTATATTAACTTCCATGAAATCAAATTAACCTCATACTTGCTGATAGGAACGAGTTGATGGGACAGCATTTAAAGCCAGAACTACCTGCCAAGTCTCTCCTTCACTCTTCACTCTAATTATATATTGTACTTATCCATGGAGCTTTCAGTACCTGCTGATCAAAGTCTGCCTGCACTGCAGTCACAGAAATGACTTTGCAGCTCTCTGATATAAAAAATGCCTGTTGCAAATCTTACAGATACAAATAGCAATAATTGCATTCTGTTGAAAAAGGACTAATTCAGATTGAAACATTTAAATTATAATTTATTTGTGATAGTCCTTCACAGGGATAAAAAAAATCCAATTTTCTATTAGCTGTAAATGTGCAGTTATTTTTATTTATCTTCAGGAGATGTCAAGTAGCAGTCAACGCACAGTATCAAGTAGCCACAGGGAAACTGAAGGCAATGAAATCACCTCCAAAGAAAGTCACATGGAAACCCTTCAAACGGAAGAGGTAACTGAGTCAATTAATTATGGCATTAGACAATGTTAGCAAGATGCTGATACATATCTGCTTTCTTTCTTCTCCATTATCACACAGTATAGCAAAATGTTAATGTTCTGCTAATAGCCTCTCTTATTTGGTAATAATACTTTTTAAAAGGGTTTTTGAAATGTTACATCAAAGGAAAATCTGAATGGGAAATCCAATTAATTACCACATTAAAACAACACGTAATAAGCTTCTGGCTGAAGTTGGATAAGTAAACATCTCTTACATATCTTACTGCACACTACCCTGTAGTGAAATGACAGGTTTTCTTTTTAAACAGATTTCTCATCGTGAGCAAATTACTCATGAGAGAAAAGAGGTTTCTACAGTCTTACAGCACAATGATGAAACAGGTAAGTAGTAGCACAAGAATCTGATCACAAATGAGCAATGGCAAATCCCCTTAGTCATGCAAATGCACCTGCCTTTGCAAACAAACATGCATTACTCTGAATTCATCAGTTAATCCTTGCTCAGCAAAATATATCCATTGGTTTCAATGGGATTTAAGAAAACTGTTTAGAAGTAGGTAGGTAGTAGGTTTAGAAGTAGGGTTTTGTATAAGGAGGGGGTGTTTTTAAGTAAGTGGGCAGCTGCTTTAAAGAGCTGTGCACTTAGAGTTATCACCTGAAAACATACTCAAGCGCTAGTCCAAAACTGTAGATGATAAAAGGTCAATTTACAGCTGAAATGAATGGCCCTGCAGAATAGGAGCACTGTGTTCAGACACGGCTGCTTTAAGTTAGTCCTGATATTAACAGAATTCCTACATCCCATTAATCCGTCGAGACCTCAGTCAACTTTTTGTCCTGCCATTCACGCAATTCCGGCAGTGCAAAACAGTAGGTGATAACATGTCATGTAGATGATAACAGTTATTCTGTGGTTCCCTTTATGGTTTTCTATTCATGACCAAGTCCAAAGCTCTGCATGGCTGAGTCTAATCTGCAATGTGATAATTTTTGTAACTCACCATTGAAGTCAATTTCATAAAATGAAGGACGGAGGGGAAAAAATATATATATATATATATTCTTTCTATTGCAGTAGTCAATGCAGCTATGAATGAAGAGTTCCCAAAGATTTCAACACAGGTTTTAAAGCAGCAATTTGAAAAGACAGCTCGGGAAAAGGCTGTTCACTCTGACAAGGAGACTGCAACACCTGCCAAGCAAGCAAAGGTCTGTGCTTTTATTAAGAAGCATCATTCTTCATATAAACAAGAAGTTAAGATATTGGTCTGTCATGTAATCTGAATTTCTATTTTGATTATTTAGTTGTGAATAAAATGTAAGTTATGAAAGTGGTGGGAATATAGAGAGCTTAGACATCAAGTGCACAAAGTGGTATAAAGCACATTAGGTCGCTTGGGAAGTATTTATACTTTGGGACAAACACAATTAAAAGTAGAACTTATAAAACTTTGCTTTTCCTGTTTTCCTCTGCTGAATGTAGTGTCTGCTATCCCCTTTTTACATCTGTAAATCTGCATCATTTCTGTCACCATGGTTCTCAGAAGCACATAAAGCATCTGTTACATAAGAAATGAAAACGTGCATAAATCAGAGCATAATTTTATATGTTTATAATGCAAAGTATGCCTTAGTTACAGCAAAAGCCCCCAAACTGCTAAATCATCATTCTTCATTTTGCATGAAGTACACATTTCTTGTCACATAGGTTCTAGGGTGCAACAGCACATGCCTTAGTTCTAAGGGTTTTTTTTATGTGGTTCTGAGCAACTGCTGCTAGATTGTTCCTTTCCAGGTCCTATTACAATTCTGTTGCTCAGATCCTTGCAGAGCTGGGCTTTTGTGAAGAATAAAGGCAAGGTTTCTGATCATAGGAATTGCTTTAAGTATCACATATATTCTTAAAAAAAAATAACAATTTTGTTCCCTAAAGATTGAAAATGGGTACCAGGAAGCTATATGGCCTTCAGCAGTTAGTTGTTCTTCCACCACTACAACTTCAGCAAGCAGACTCCATGAAACTTCGACAGCCAGGAGAAAGCAGTACGGAACCATTGCCTCTGCGATGCCTAACACCAGGTCCCCTAAGTATGGAAACACAGAAAACTTTCCCGCTACTTTCACACCAGCTCCATTGGAAACGACAGAGATTTCCCAGTCCCCTGAACAACCCACCTCTCCAAAGTCCACTATCCCCAAAGATCTGTACTCAAAGCAAAGAAATTTATATGAATTAAAACGCCTATACAAACATATTCACCCAGAACTAAGGAAAAGCTTAGAAAAGGATTACTTAAATGAGATCTCTGATATTTTATCTAGTGAATCTGAAGCAAGGAATATAACGTCAGGAGATGTACAACAGGCTAGATATGTTTTTGAAAACACTATTATCCCTCAAAAGTTTACAGGCTCAGAAAAAGAATATATAGAATGGGATGAAATCCTAAAAGGTGAGGTCCAGTCTATGAGATGGATCTTTGAGAACCAACCTTTAGATTCAATTAAAGATGACTCTCCAGATCCAGACAACGTTAAAAGCATTGCAGAGCAAGAAATCATTGCAGGTGGAGATGTTAAATACACAACCTGGATGTTTGAGACTCAGCCTATTCAAGCACTGGGTGCACAATCTTCAGAATCTGCAGAAACTACAGACAAGATCCCAGAATTAGCTAGAGGAGATGTCCGCACAGCCACATGGATGTTTGAAACCCAGCCACTGGACTCTATGAATAAAATTTATCATGATGAAGAACAGACATCAGATGAGACTTGTGTTAGAGAAATTTCTGGTGGTGATGTAAAAACTGTGAAGTACATGTTTGAAACACAGAATCTGGATAAACTTGGGCAGCTATACTCAGTGGATGAAGTTAATTTGCTGCAGCTGAGGTCTGAGCTTAAGGAGATTAAAGGAAATGTGAAGAGAAGCATAAAGCATTTCGAAACTCGCCCATTGTATGTTATCAGAGACAACCTAGGTCAAATACTGGAGATTAAAACTGTCCACCGAGAAGACATTGAAAAGGGGGACGTCAGAACAGCACGCTGGATGTTTGAAACACAGCCCTTAGACAGGATTAATAAAGACCCAGTGGAAATTAAAGTTTTACGAGGAATCTCTATGGAGGAAAATGTCAAAGGTGGCGTGCACAAGGCAAAATGGTTATTTGAAACACAGCCTTTGGATACTATTAAAGAGGATTCTGAGGAAATGATCACTCAGAAGGAAACTATTCTAGGGACTGATGTTTCCAGAAAGTGCTGGATTTTTGAAACCCAGCCTCTTGATACTCTAAAAGAGAACGATGACGCGTCTCGTCCCCTCCCTGAAGAAATAATAGGAGGTGATGTATCTGGTACTAAACATTTATTCGAAACTTTGCCAATGGATGCATTAAAGGACAGTCTAGATGTTGGTAAGCTTCAAAAGGTGGTTGCTACTGAGGAAGAAAAAGGTGATGTAAGACATCAGAAATGGGTTTTTGAGACTAAACCTCTTGAACAGATCAGAGAAGAAAGAAAAGAATTTGTCAGAACTGTAAAGCTTGAAGAAATTGACAGAGGTGATGTGAACGCCTACAAAAATATATTTGAATCGAGCAATTTAAAAAAATATGATAAATCACAAAGAATCCATGTGGAGGGTGTAATACGAGGAGCTGTAGAGCTGAACAAAGCTCTTTTTGAAACAACTCCTCTCTACGCAATTCAAGACAGTCACGGTAAATACCATGAGGTTAAAACAATCAGGCAAGAAGAAATTTTAAGAGGTGACGTAAGGAGCTGCAGGTGGCTTTTTGAAACAAGGCCTCTTGATCAATTTGATGAAAGTGATAAAAAAATCCAAATCATCAAGGGAATATCTTCACAAGAAGTAATTTCTGGTGATGTGAAAACAGCTAAATGGTTGTTTGAAACTCAGCCTCTTGATGCAATTAAACATTTTAGTGATATGGGAGAAGAAGAAATTAAAGCAGAACAGAGGATAGACATTGTTAAAGGAGACGTAAAAACATGTAGATGGCTTTTTGAAACACAGCCAATGGAATCACTGTATGACAAAGTTGAAGTGGTGACAGACAGTGAAGAAATACATAAAGGAGATGTCAAAACCTGTACTCAGCTCTTTGAAACACAGCCACTGGATGCAATAAAAGATGGTTCAGAAATAACAGAAAAGCTACACACTGTGAATCGGGAGGATATTCACGGAAGTGATGTCCGTACAGCATGTTGCCTTTTTGAAACAGAAAACCTAGAAAATATACAAGGTGAAGAAGGGAAGGAGTTAAAAAGAATAATGGAAATTGATATTCAGCCTGGGGATGTCTCAACTATGAAGCAAAAATTTGAAAACCACTCATTAGACTCCATAAATTTCAGTTCAGAGGAAGTTCTGGAAAAAATTAAAACTATTCAAAAACAGGAAATACAGAAAGGAAATGTTTTACATTGCCGATGGCTTTTTGAAAATCACTCCATTGATGATATAAAAGAAAATCAGGAAAACAGTGCCTCAGTCAAAACTGTAACAGATATAAAGGGGGGCAATGTGAGAAAAAGTTGTTTTATTTTTGAGACCTTCTCTTTGGACCAAATTAGAGATGAATCTGAAAACATCAGCACCAAGAAAACCATCAGTGAGGAGGAAATAACAAAGGGAAATGTTAAAAACTATAGAATGATGTTTGAAAATCAATCACTCTACGCAATCCAGGACAAAGAAGGGAATTATCACGAAGTAACAACAGTTAAAAAGGAAGATGTGATTCATGGAGATGTACGTGGGACAAGGTGGTTGTTTGAAACAAAACCTTTAGATTCTATTAATGAATCAGATAATGTATACATTATTCGAGCTGTCACCCAGGAAGATATTCAGAAAGGAGATGTGAGCTCTGTCAGGTACAGATTTGAGACTCAACCATTGGATAAAATTTCAGAAAATGAAAAAATAATTGTGCCCGCTATCTGCAGTGTTGTAGGGGCTGATGTGAAGGCAAACAAACGATTATTCGAGTCTGAAGAGCTAAGTAAGGGCACATATGTAAGAACTGTGAGTGTCAGTGAAGTCCAACATGGCAATGTCAAAACTGCCACATGGTTATTTGAGACACACACTCTAGATGAGATTAGAGCAGAGGGGTCAGAATATAAAGATGTTCAAACAGTCACAAAGGAAGATGTGCAAGAAGGTGATGTTCAGCATGCAGTGTGGGTTTTTGAAAATCAGCCACTGGATTCTATTAAAGAAACTGATGAAAGTGAAGTAAGAACATCCAGGGAAGACATTCCACAGGTGGATGTTAAAACAACAACATGGCTCTTTGAAACAACACCTTTCCACGAATTTAATGAAAGTAAGGTTGAAAAGCAAGAAATTATAGGCAAAAGTATCAAAGAAACGCTAAAAGAGCTTTACTCTCAAAAAGTTGTGGAGTCTCATGGAATTATCATTGCGTCAGATGAAATTGGGGATGTCAGAATGGCAAAATATAAACTAATGAATCAAAAGGCACCAGAAATACAGAAGGAAGAAATTATTAAAGGGGATCTAGGCAACATAATGATGAACCTGCTGTCCATAAAAAACACTACCAAAAAAGAGATTGTAGTAAATGACGATGAAAAAGGCAACGTTAATTTGACCAAAACTCAGTTACTGAACAGATCAGTAGATGATCATGTTGAAAAAGAAGAGATAGTGAGAGGTGATATACAGCAGGCTATTAAAAAACTATTTAGTAAGGATAGCTCTGTAAAACAAGGAATCTTAATTCAGGAAAATGAGAGAGGGGATGTTAACATGACAATATATTCTCTCCTTCACAAAAAAGATGGCCGCAAAATGCGACGTGATGAAGTGATAGGTGGTGATGTGAAACGTACCATTCACAGCCTCCTGTCTTCTATAGCAAATAATGAAATACCAGAACGGGCTAAAATAGAAGAAAATGAGAGAGGCAATGTTCAGTTTTTCACAACATGCATAGAAGCTGGAGCTCTGGACTATTTGAAACTGTTCCAAACAGGGTCAGATGAAACATCTACAAATGAGAAACAAGAGGAAGATGAGGAAATAATTGCTGGTGATGTAGAAGGCACAAAGCTGTTGCTAAAGAAACACAAGTCCCCCATTCAACGTACAGTCGCTGAAGCTGACATCATCCCTGGAGACGTGTGTAATGCAGTTAAAAGTTTCACGGCAGAGCCACAGGATACATCTAGTCACATACAGAAAGAAGAAATTATAAAAGGTGATTTGAAGGCAGCTTTAAATTCCCTCAGCCAGGCCATAAGTCAAACAACAGTTAAAGAAAAGGAAGAAATTATAAAAGCTGATATACTGGCAATACTGAAGTCACTTGAAGAAGCAGCTTTTCAACTGAAAGAAGCAGAAAGGCCTGAGGTCATACCTGGAGATATTAAGAGGACTATTGAGTCCCTTGAAAAGGCAATAAATGCAAAAATTAAAGTTCTAAAAACCGATGTTGTTCAGGAGGATCTCGATTCAACATTAAGGTCTTTAAAAGAAGCTCAGCTATCTTTCAAGAGCATAGGGAGAGGAGATGTAATCAACAGAGATACTCAGACTGTTGTGCAAAATGAGCTAGAAATCTGTGCAGAAAGGAAAATGGTACAATCTGGAGAAAGGAATCAGACAGATATAAAAGGAACTGCCAAACCAGCTTTTAAACCATCTCAGCAATTAGCACATGGTAACATGACCCAAAATCAAGCCAAGTCAGTTAAATCTCACCATGAATGTTACCAGCAAGTGCAGGCTAAAAATGAGACTTTTCTGAAAGAAGCTGCAAAGGTTACTGAAAAGATACATTTAGATCAGAGTACTGAGTCTCCTGATATTTATCATATTAAAAAGATGAATTTACCTAATTTGCAACAAAAGAGCACTGAGAAAGTGGAAGAGTCAAAGGATAAAACCAGAGTCCAGCACAAAGCAGAAAATGACACAAAATCTCCTACTGAACAACATATGAAAAACCAGTCTACCTTCTGTGAAAAAGTGGGGAGAAATGTAAGAGCAGAGAAATCAGAAACATACAAAGCTCTGAAGACAAACAGTATGTCCAGCAGCATGCAAGCCAAGGGAAAAACAGAAAAGAAACAGAATTTATATAATGAACACAAAAATAATGAATTTTCCAGCAGAAACAAAATGGCACCTACTGAAATTTCTGAAGTGTGCGACCACTTTCAAAAGCACGTGGCAAAGAGCAAAATACAGCAATCTCAGGATCGTAGAGAAACTTTTGCCATAAAAGAAATGAACCCTGACCAAGTGCAAGATGTAGTAACTAGAACAGCAGGACAGAGTGTCAAAGACGAAGTCACGCAGGAAACACACAGTAATTTTAAGGAAACTGAGAGCAGGAAAAGGATTGATATTCATCAGCAAAATAAGAAATTAGTAGGCCAGTTTACTAGAAAGACTAAAATAGAAGCTACTAAATCAGATGCTCGACTTTCAGTAAAAGCTCCTTCGAATCCAGCCAAGAATGTAATTCAGAAAGACACAACAGAAATGGATTCCCTATTCCCACCTCCACCATCCCTTCCCCCATCACCACCTCCTTCAGTTACATCTTCTGAAGGTGAATTTCCTCTGCCTCCTCCACCTCCTCCTCCTCTAACATCAGATAAACAGATGTCTCTTTCACCACCATTATCTAGAGAAACAGCTGAGTTTGATCATTTTCCTCCTCCTCCACCACCACTGCCAATAGATGACAAATCTGAAAGTGAGTTCCTATCTGGTCTCCCTCTCCCACCACCTCCGCCCCATCTTCTGATTCCTCCTACAATGCAACCAAGGCAAAACAAAAAGCACGTTCCTAAATATCCAGAAGAGTCACTGCTTCATCCAGAGCAAATTCATGCCAGTACTGAAGTGGCAGGTAAATCTACTGCAGTAGCATCATCACAAAACCACGCCAGAAGGGAGCCCACAAGGGGCCCGGAAGGTCTCAAGTCCAAAATACCTCCTATATTTGAGCCAACAGTACTTCATATGCGCACAGAAACGGATATCACCAAAATATTAGCAGACAGTAGCAAGTCTGAAACTCTGATGAATGTGGTTAGTCATAAACAGAAACAAGTGAGCAGTCACACAAGAGCAGAGGAGGGAGGACTACTCTCCTCTGCAGCAGAAATGGCTGATTATTCACCCAAGGCTCAGGAAGAGATTCTATCAGTCCAGAAAAAAGAGACCTTTCCAGTGATGAAATCTCCTTCTGTTCCTTCAGAGAATGAAGCACAAATAAAACCCAAGCCTTATATTCGAAAATTTGTAACTCCATTAATGATAGCTGAAGAAAAATATAGACAGCAAAAGGAAGAGAGAGAGAAAACGGAAGTCAAAATTTGCTGTGAGTCAGTCAGAACAAGCAACAAGGTTCAGGGAAGTCCAAACGAAACATTATTACAGAAACCAAACAAGCAAGATCAAGGTCCTGCACAAGGCGCAGAAGCCCCAGGGATACCAGAGAAAAGCACAATTTCTGATTCTGATATTCATGTCAATTTTCAAGCAAGAGGCTTCAGAGGTGATAAAAAGCTATCTGCATCATCAACCACCAAGCAGCTTCAGGAAGTTTTAGAAGCCTCAGAAGAAAATCACAGTAGTAAAAAAGTACTACTGGGTGCAAAACATAACCTGTCATGTCAGATGGAAAAAACGCATCCCGATCAGACATTACCTAAGCCTGAGCAGCTGAAGAACGTGGAGCAACTGACCCAGCCTCAAAATAAAATCAGTCCCCCTACATTCAAAGTTAAAACTATTAAGGTTCCCATCGGAGAGCAGAGCTTGCAGGAGACTCATAAAGATTCTGAAATACAGCAAAGCCAGCAGGGAATTAATGTTCAAAATGTTTTCACGCAACACAATCAGAAGAAGCAGAGAGAAGACATAAGCCTTACCACCAAGAAAAAAGAAAAAATGGCAAAGCAAGATCACCAAGAGCACATTAATGGGAATGTATTAGCTGAAAAAACACATTATTCGAGTCTGAAGAGCTAAGTAAGGGCACATATGTAAGAACTGTGAGTGTCAGTGAAGTCCAACATGGCAATGTCAAAACTGCCACATGGTTATTTGAGACACACACTCTAGATGAGATTAGAGCAGAGGGGTCAGAATATAAAGATGTTCAAACAGTCACAAAGGAAGATGTGCAAGAAGGTGATGTTCAGCATGCAGTGTGGGTTTTTGAAAATCAGCCACTGGATTCTATTAAAGAAACTGATGAAAGTGAAGTAAGAACATCCAGGGAAGACATTCCACAGGTGGATGTTAAAACAACAACATGGCTCTTTGAAACAACACCTTTCCACGAATTTAATGAAAGTAAGGTTGAAAAGCAAGAAATTATAGGCAAAAGTATCAAAGAAACGCTAAAAGAGCTTTACTCTCAAAAAGTTGTGGAGTCTCATGGAATTATCATTGCGTCAGATGAAATTGGGGATGTCAGAATGGCAAAATATAAACTAATGAATCAAAAGGCACCAGAAATACAGAAGGAAGAAATTATTAAAGGGGATCTAGGCAACATAATGATGAACCTGCTGTCCATAAAAAACACTACCAAAAAAGAGATTGTAGTAAATGACGATGAAAAAGGCAACGTTAATTTGACCAAAACTCAGTTACTGAACAGATCAGTAGATGATCATGTTGAAAAAGAAGAGATAGTGAGAGGTGATATACAGCAGGCTATTAAAAAACTATTTAGTAAGGATAGCTCTGTAAAACAAGGAATCTTAATTCAGGAAAATGAGAGAGGGGATGTTAACATGACAATATATTCTCTCCTTCACAAAAAAGATGGCCGCAAAATGCGACGTGATGAAGTGATAGGTGGTGATGTGAAACGTACCATTCACAGCCTCCTGTCTTCTATAGCAAATAATGAAATACCAGAACGGGCTAAAATAGAAGAAAATGAGAGAGGCAATGTTCAGTTTTTCACAACATGCATAGAAGCTGGAGCTCTGGACTATTTGAAACTGTTCCAAACAGGGTCAGATGAAACATCTACAAATGAGAAACAAGAGGAAGATGAGGAAATAATTGCTGGTGATGTAGAAGGCACAAAGCTGTTGCTAAAGAAACACAAGTCCCCCATTCAACGTACAGTCGCTGAAGCTGACATCATCCCTGGAGACGTGTGTAATGCAGTTAAAAGTTTCACGGCAGAGCCACAGGATACATCTAGTCACATACAGAAAGAAGAAATTATAAAAGGTGATTTGAAGGCAGCTTTAAATTCCCTCAGCCAGGCCATAAGTCAAACAACAGTTAAAGAAAAGGAAGAAATTATAAAAGCTGATATACTGGCAATACTGAAGTCACTTGAAGAAGCAGCTTTTCAACTGAAAGAAGCAGAAAGGCCTGAGGTCATACCTGGAGATATTAAGAGGACTATTGAGTCCCTTGAAAAGGCAATAAATGCAAAAATTAAAGTTCTAAAAACCGATGTTGTTCAGGAGGATCTCGATTCAACATTAAGGTCTTTAAAAGAAGCTCAGCTATCTTTCAAGAGCATAGGGAGAGGAGATGTAATCAACAGAGATACTCAGACTGTTGTGCAAAATGAGCTAGAAATCTGTGCAGAAAGGAAAATGGTACAATCTGGAGAAAGGAATCAGACAGATATAAAAGGAACTGCCAAACCAGCTTTTAAACCATCTCAGCAATTAGCACATGGTAACATGACCCAAAATCAAGCCAAGTCGGTTAAATCTCACCATGAATGTTACCAGCAAGTGCAGGCTAAAAATGAGACTTTTCTGAAAGAAGCTGCAAAGGTTACTGAAAAGATACATTTAGATCAGAGTACTGAGTCTCCTGATATTTATCATATTAAAAAGATGAATTTACCTAATTTGCAACAAAAGAGCACTGAGAAAGTGGAAGAGTCAAAGGATAAAACCAGAGTCCAGCACAAAGCAGAAAATGACACAAAATCTCCTACTGAACAACATATGAAAAACCAGTCTACCTTCTGTGAAAAAGTGGGGAGAAATGTAAGAGCAGAGAAATCAGAAACATACAAAGCTCTGAAGACAAACAGTATGTCCAGCAGCATGCAAGCCAAGGGAAAAACAGAAAAGAAACAGAATTTATATAATGAACACAAAAATAATGAATTTTCCAGCAGAAACAAAATGGCACCTACTGAAATTTCTGAAGTGTGCGACCACTTTCAAAAGCACGTGGCAAAGAGCAAAATACAGCAATCTCAGGATCGTAGAGAAACTTTTGCCATAAAAGAAATGAACCCTGACCAAGTGCAAGATGTAGTAACTAGAACAGCAGGACAGAGTGTCAAAGACGAAGTCACGCAGGAAACACACAGTAATTTTAAGGAAACTGAGAGCAGGAAAAGGATTGATATTCATCAGCAAAATAAGAAATTAGTAGGCCAGTTTACTAGAAAGACTAAAATAGAAGCTACTAAATCAGATGCTCGACTTTCAGTAAAAGCTCCTCCGAATCAAGCCAAGAATGTAATTCAGAAAGACACAACAGAAATGGATTCCCTATTCCCACCTCCACCATCCCTTCCCCCATCACCACCTCCTTCAGTTACATCTTCTGAAGGTGAATTTCCTCTGCCTCCTCCACCTCCTCCTCCTCTAACATCAGATAAACAGATGTCTCTTTCACCAGCTATAATAATAGCTATTAATAATAGCCACACTATTAATAATAATAGTAATAGCCATAGCTATAATGTTAATTTTTATTTTTTTCCACCACCACTGCCAATAGATGACAAATCTGAAAGTGAGTTCCTATCTGGTCTCCCTCTCCCACCACCTCCGCCCCATCTTCTGATTCCTCCTACAATGCAACCAAGGCAAAAGAAAAAGCACGTTCCTAAATATCCAGAAGAGTCACTGCTTCATCCAGAGCAAATTCATGCCAGTACTGAAGTGGCAGGTAAATCTACTGCAGTAGCATCATCACAAAACCACGCCAGAAGGGAGCCCACAAGGGGCCCGGAAGGTCTCAAGTCCAAAATACCTCCTAAATTTGAGCCAACAGTACTTCATATGCGCACAGAAACGGATATCACCAAAATATTAGCAGACAGTAGCAAGTCTGAAACTCTGATGAATGTGGTTAGTCATAAACAGAAACAAGTGAGCAGTCACACAAGAGCAGAGGAGGGAGGACTACTCTCCTCTGCAACAGAAATGGCTGATTATTCACCCAAGGCTCAGGAAGAGATTCTATCAGTCCAGAAAAAAGAGACCTTTCCAGTGATGAAATCTCCTTCTGTTCCTTCAGAGAATGAAGCACAAATAAAACCCAAGCCTTATATTCGAAAATTTGTAACTCCATTAATGATAGCTGAAGAAAAATATAGACAGCAAAAGGAAGAGAGAGAGAAAACGGAAGTCAAAATTTGCTGTGAGTCAGTCAGAACAAGCAACAAGGTTCAGGGAAGTCCAAACGAAACATTATTACAGAAACCAAACAAGCAAGATCAAGGTCCTGCACAAGGCGCAGAAGCCCCAGGGATACCAGAGAAAAGCACAATTTCTGATTCTGATATTCATGTCAATTTTCAAGCAAGAGGCTTCAGAGGTGATAAAAAGCTATCTGCATCATCAACCACCAAGCAGCTTCAGGAAGTTTTAGAAGCCTCAGAAGAAAATCACAGTAGTAAAAAAGTACTACTGGGTGCAAAACATAACCTGTCATGTCAGATGGAAAAAACGCATCCCGATCAGACATTACCTAAGCCTGAGCAGCTGAAGAACGTGGAGCAACTGACCCAGCCTCAAAATAAAATCAGTCCCCCTACATTCAAAGTTAAAACTATTAAGGTTCCCATCGGAGAGCAGAGCTTGCAGGAGACTCATAAAGAATCTGAAATACAGCAAAGCCAGCAGGGAATTAATGTTCAAAATGTTTTCACGCAACACAATCAGAAGAAGCAGAGAGAAGACATAAGCCTTACCACCAAGAAAAAAGAAAAAATGGCAAAGCAAGATCACCAAGAGCACATTAATGGGAATGTATTAGCTGAAAAAACACATTCGAAATGTTCAGAAAGCAGACAAGAATTGCAGAAACAGGAATTGAACCAAATAAAACAAAAAATAGTTAATGAAAAGGAAACAAGAAAAGGAGAATCCAGAGAGGAGAAAATCTTGCTGAAGAAAGAGATAAACGAGACCCATGTAGCAATTCATCCAGAGAAAGACATGGTAACAATTCAGAAAAAACAGGAGCAGCCTAAGATTACACCAGCAGCGAAAGCAGTGAAGGGAAAAGTAAATGACAGTCTGCATGACTCACAGACCCAAACTACCCAACAAAAGAACGTGTGCGTTTCTGAGAGCAGAGTCCAAAAAACAAGCGCGTCCCAGGAATATAACAGGCTGCAAGAAAATGCCTGTGTCAAACACAAAGGCATACAAGTGAAAGCAAGCCTCCTAAAGAAAAAAGATCCAAAACAAGAAAATACACACAAAAATTCTTTGTGTTCTTCACCACTGCATACAGAGGAAAAATGTGCAGTAGATATAGTAGATATTTTGAGAAAAAGAGAGGAACTGCAGGAAGTTTTGTGCAGGGTGAAACAGTTTGAAGATGAGCCAAATAGGATTGGTCTAAAAACATTTAAGACATTTTTAAATATTATCCCTGTATGGCTAATAGATCAAGAAAGAAAAAAATATATAGCTCATATAATAACAGAAAATAATGCTGAAAAAATGAAAGAAGAATTATCTGATATTAAATATCAAGCAAGCCAAATGCTTGCTTCATATGAAGATTCAATCCAAACCGCTGTCTCCTCAAGAACAGTCAAATCCAGAAATAACAGCACTACTTATCAGGGCACTTCCCAGAAAATATCAGGAATTACTACTGGCTCCAATAAAAAAGACCTGCATAAAACCACAGGCTCTATTGAAGCAGAAGCAGTGCATCAGGATGCTCAACAGCAGTCCAATGGACTTGGCCAGACAGAATCCAGGTCTTCTCCAGCACTAAGAATGAGATCCCCGTCTCCTACTTATATAACAATTGAGTCTAGAAGGACAGACTCTCCTCTAAGGGAGGCACCGTCTTCCCCTACCCAAAGGGAAGGGACTTCATTTCCTCTGCCGCCCCACAGATCTGCAACATCAAAAACTAAAATTCGACAGCCACAGTCTTCCCCCTCTTCAAGAAGCCAAGCTGAGCAACTGGCTAAGCTGAAAGACACCACAGCAAAATTATCACAAGGCGCAACACAGCATCAAGCTGTAAATCCACTTCCGATTGTAGAAAAAAGATCAGAAATCATTAAATCTCCTGCAACACTTCGCCGACAAATTAAGATTGAAATGCACGCTAGGAAACCTTTATCTTCTGTAATGCCACCTGTATATGAATCTCAAGTAACTGCTGGTACAGTAAAAAATACACAAGAAACACAAGAAAAAAGACTACATGCACTACATGCAGAGAAAAACAAATACTTGTGCCAAGACCGATTAAACATTCCAGAACACTTAGAGTCTCAGAGTGAAAGTTTAGATTCCATCTCAGTGACACGAAAATTTGAGAGTCCTGGGATTCATCACCCATCAGGGCTTATTCACAGATTCGAAGCATCAGAGATAGTAACACACACAAAAAATGAGCCAACTACAGTAGTTGAGAGGTTACATAATGAAAGTGCATATGAAAAGGGTAAGCTTTTTGGAAAAACTGAGGACAAAGACATATTTGAAGTTAAGTCAATGGAAAGAGATTTCAGAAGTGGTGAAGTGAATAGCAAAATCAAGGACAGAACACACATATTTAACCGAGATGAGTTCTGTATGGACAATCAAAGTCAGAAAGCTAATTTCCAAAACTCTTCTTGCTGGCAGCTAAGAGAAACAAAACAAGATATATCTTATAAACCAGGGCAACGTAAAGATAAAGAACAATCATTTCAACCTGCAATACGTTTGGAAGCTAAGTCCCATAACGAATGTTCTTCTGACAGGGATACATTAACAAGCACAGTAGTTGAATCAAGAACTGCAACCTCAGCCTCACAAAATGTTGATAGTATGCAGTCAGGATTTGGCTTCAAGCATGCCCCTCCAACATATGAAGATGTTATCTCTGGACATATTCTGGATATTTCTACTACTGGTTCACCAGAAGAGCTACTGAAAAATTTTCAGAAGACATGGCAAGAGAGTGAACAAGTCTTTAAAAGTCTAGGTTACAGTGTCTCAGATACTTCTGAAACGGAAATGAGAAGCAGCTTCCATGAGGAAGCAGAGTATTTCAGTGGTAAATAAGCATGCAAAGTGTGAAGAAACTAAAACAATTTTATACATTATCACTCACCACTAGTACGTTGTGAAGTAATGAAAAATGTGTTTATAACCAAAGGCTGAAATAACAAACAAAACTAACAAACTTTTCTTAACTTTTGCTGTCTGTCTCTCCTCTTGTCTCAGCAATCTTTCACCATCTTCCCTTTCCAAGGGCATCTCCTTTGAGTGATGTGCTGAATGTGTGCCTAACAAATACTGACATGTTGAGTTTTGAGGCCTTTTTTGCTAAGGTAAATACTGTAATTGAACTGGTATCATAAACTATTATGTAAAATCATTACTATCGTATTTAAGAAATATTAACATGTTAGAAAGTGTGCACAGTATGCATCTGATTTTTAATGCTTTCAAATAATGCAGCTTACTCTTGATATGGTATTGCCTGTATAAAATAGCTATAATGTTAATTTTTATTTTTTATTTAGACTGGTTTAATATTTTAGTAAAATTACTGAAATGGTTTACAAAATACCATGCATTAAAAAAAAGATCTTCAATGCTTCCTGTTGGATGATTTTACCTATGATACAACCCTAGTCTGAATTAAGGCAGCAAACATATCATCTACTGCTGCAGTGCAGGTCTCACATCATTAAGGAGTTGAGCCACAGTAATCGAATTCCCTCCAAAAAGCTGAAGCTGTTTACTTTTTCATATTGAAGCATATGATAACAAAATATACGCTTTCCTCATAGCACATGTATTACATGAAAAAACACATTAAAATAGTATTTAGATTACAAAAGCATATGAAAATTAGAAAATACTATACTTGCCGTTACTTGATGAGCTTTATTACCTTCCCTTTGCACATCTAGTTCATGTTAAGATTTTAAAGTCAGCAGTAATACCCAGTTTCCATCAGGATAAATACTCAGGAGATATTCAGTTTCCAGTAGAATGAAGCCTCTGGAGTCACTTTGAATCTTTCTATCTGGGAAATAAGGTCAATAAGTTTTATCCCAAATTATTTTTCTAGAACTGTTCACACGATTAATTTTCATGAAGATGAGCACTTGGTTCAGCTATTCCACCCTGGAAGTTCTTTGGAATAAACCAGCAAAATGACACTGACACTTAGACTAACACTCTCTCTTTCTATTGACTGTCACCTTTCAGGGCACAACACACACAATCAGCTTGCCAGCTGAAGTGTGACAGTATTCCAGGAGATACCTGCCTTCTGCCTTCTTTTTTGCCTTCTCAATTACCTTCTACCTTTCTACATTGTCACAAAGCTTGATTCTTTTCTCCCTCTTTACACTCAGAATACTTAAGAATACTAATTTAAGTGGATCCTTATGGTTGGCTGACACAATCAATCTCAACAAGAACAAAAGCTGCATTTAGATTACTAGGAGACATGCAGAAACATCGGCTAAAATTCAACATCTGCCCAACTCCAGTTTGTCATTCAACTTTGAAACTAATTTGAAATTAAATTTCAAAATTTCTATTTAATGACCAACACTTTTTTTTCCCCTGTTTGTTATTCTGGTGGTTATTCTTTTTACAAGCTCTAGCCTATTTTGAAGATATTTCATTTCTCTTAGTATTCTTTTACAACTCATTACAGATAGTAGAGATATATTGTAACTACAGCTGTAGTTACAAAATCGACACCACTTTTCCGTCTTGATTCATAAATTGCTATGAAACCAATACCAGCAGGCAAAACAAAAATAGATACAATGCAATAATGGACCAAATTTTCTCCTGATGTCAAGGGGCATTTCTCTGCTGGTGTCAGTGAAGATAAATCTATTTCAACAGTGCTTTGGTTGACTCTCTGTATTTGCCTGCTAGTACAGTTTTCATAGCATTTCACACATCAAGCCCATGTGATTGTCCACTATCTCCTTCTGTCTTCGGCCCCTCACTGGTATGGAATAAACCTGCTACGTGTGCTTTGTAGTTTAAAGAAAACTAGCTTCTTTTATAATTAACTACACTTCATAAAAGAAAGGGTTTTATACAGTTAGCTAATATCGTGACTGTAGCTAACTCAGGCTTGAAATGAAAAATCTTCTAATGAAAACATCAGGTCTTAAAATTAAGATTAAAAAAATGCAAAAATCACAAATAATTATATCCATAGTATATCTAGATCAAAGAGCTTGCAGGTTACCACACAAGTGGAGCTCTTCAATATGTTTTTGGCATGATTAAACAGAACTTCTCCAACAATTTCAAACATCTGCCCCCTCTATCCCTAAATCACACTGTAGATTCATACGCTATACATATATTAGATCAGCTACAGTCATATCAGATCCGTAACAATCATATTAATACACATTTTATTATCTAATTTCACAAAATAAATACTTATTAAAAATAAATAGGAAATACTGTGCATGAGAGAATGAAGTGGATAACCTTTCAAATGTACAATTTTTGAAAAGGGTGAGTGCTTTTTCATCTTCAAAGTATTACTGTTAGTTAAAGAAATGGAACCCTAAAATGAATAGCTATCAGGAGACAGATAAAGAGAACTACAACACTGAGTGTAGCAAACATTTAACATGGACTAATAAAATGAAAACATAATATTTGGCTACAGATTTTTAATATCTATCACATAATATTTGATTCTAGAAACTACAGCTTCAGGAACAGGAAATATGCACACTTTGTCAACAGCGAGTTTACCCAATGGAATGCCTAGTCGCAGACAAGCAGAATTTTCATAAAACATGTTTCCGATGTCACCACTGTGGCAGCAAATTAAGGTAAGAACTAACTGCATGTTTGTTCACAGAAATTCTGCATCTGAATATAAATGGTTTATGTTCTCCCTAAAAAAGTATGAGTCTTCTCCTTCAAGAAACTGTATAATTTTCAAACTGCATGGCAATTTGCAAATAAAAGTCTTAAATATTTTTTTTCCTGTTTAGAACTGTGTGTTACATTGGATTCGCTCTTTTTATTCCTTCTTTCTTTATAAACACTGTCACATAGGGTACTTGAAATACCAAGCAAAGTATCAAATTCATGACAGATTTATAATTCCTAGAAGTGTAATGCTTCTTTTTTTTTTTTTCCCCCTCTATTTGACAGCTTGGGAAATTATGCATCTCTCCATGGACAAATATACTGTAAACCTCATTTTAAGCAACTTTTCAAGTCTAAAGGAAATTACGATGAAGGTTTTGGACACAAGCAACATAAAGAATTATGGAATTCTAAAGATCAAGGTAGCTCAGCTGGCAATATTCACACTGAAGAAATAAATCCCATTAATGGTACACTCGTTGAACCTAAAATAATTACAGAAATTGATCAAAACTTTCACTTAGCTACTCAATGTATCCATCCTGAGAGTTTGGATGATCATTTGAAAAAATCCACAGAAAGGGGTAAATTAAAAATTACGTGGCCTCCCTCAACGGATGATACAACACCTAAGAAAACATTTTCAATTGACGAAATGGCTAAGGTGAATAAGCCAAAGTGGCCCCCGGAAGGTTTTGCTCAAGATGATTGTAGCTCACGTGCAAATAAACCTCTGGGAAATAGAAAGGAACCTCAGAAAGAAAATGTCCATAGTGATCTGAAAGAGCAAAAGAAAAATGACGTTGTGGATGCACAACAAAATCAACGCTCATCTTTTAGCTCTATATCTGAAAAAGACATTACAAGTGTGTGTGAAAGAAAAATAAATGAAGTAGGGAAAAAGGAAAAAGACGAGGAAACTGAGAACGCAGAAGATAAGTCGAAGAAAACAGGAGGATCACAGATTAGGGAGGAAAATGTTAAGGATATTAATGAAGGTGTGCACATCGCTGAGAAGGAGCAAGAGAAAAAAAATAATGAAACTTATGATTTAGAAGTTGTACAGGTTACTAACATTGATGATGAAACAGTGCAAAAGAATCATAAACAGTTCAGCTTAAATAATACTAACAATAATAATAATAACCTCATTTTTTCACATGTGAACACTTGCAGCCAGGAAACTTCTCTCTCAGCTATGTCTAACCCAGTGACAAAATTAAGCCATGAAATTTTCACTGCATCTCAGAATGCCTTTGAAAAGCTGGAAAATCAGTCTGGAAATGAAGAAATATTTGAGATATCTCAATCCCGAGAGAGTTATTCTAGTGATTCTGTAATTGTTTCACTGGATGAACAGAACTCCAAAGATAAGGATGCTGTTACCACTAATAATCTTATTCAGTTCAATAAGGATGTTACTTCTCAGAAGTCCTGTGCTAATTCCACATTAGTTCTTAAAGCCACTAATACAATATTCCATATTGATATGGAGTTGGCATGCACTGGACAAGAATCAGAGCATGACAAAAACATAAAAACTACTTTATCTGACACCATGAAAACATCTTCTTTTATTCATAGAGACAGCCTAGCTTTAAATGTTGGTCTGTTAGATGCTGTGGACATAACAAAAAATTCTTCCAGCCCATATTCAAAAGAACATGGGAATTATGATCTGGAACTGAATACTAATGTCTGTCAAGAGGATGAAATAATCAAAGTATCAGAGAATGGCATAAGCACAAGTTCAGATTTACTGGACTCAAGACATTCAGCTGTCCCATCATCCCATAGAGAGAAAGTTAAGTCTAAACAGCTCACTATAGAAGAGGAAATTAAAGGGAATAGATTCTATGATGAAAATGAATAAAGTTGATAAATGAAAAGATACATTTGTCACAAGTGGTAAAATGTTATTTATGTCTGCACTTAATGGTTTAGCATTTATTCAGTCCAGTTTTATAGTACTTCTTAAAGAACTGAATATCCAGAGATTGTATATAAAGTTGTGTATTGCATACTGTCAATTACTCACTCAGACTTTACATAGTTTACATTTACAGTAAGGAAGAGGCAAAAATGAGCTATTTTTTCAGTCTGTTATGAAAACAACTTGTCTATCGTCAACAACTTGTATTTCTATGCTGCAAGAAACGATGACTGTCTGCCGAAACACAGTAATTCAACTTTATCCTTTATCATTTGTTACAAGTAAGAGGTGAAGCACCTGGTGTGCACAAAATGATGAAAAAATATTTCCGCATCTATTTTTTTCATTTATTATTATTGTAACTGAATGAGCTGCAGCTCCAAGACATTTTATGTACATTTGTTTTGTTAGCTTATACTAGAGGGTTTCTTTTCTTTTTCTTTTTTTTTTTTTTGCAATATCATTGAGTAGGTAGCTTGAAATGCACTAGTTATTGAATAATATCCAGAACTGGTTGGCAAGTAGTACTGTTTTGCTATATTCCTAGAATTAGTATGGCATTCTATTGCATGACAGGAGAGAGAATACATAAATAAATGTGTGCACATGTTAAAGCAAATAGCATTGAAAATGGCCTGATCAACTGGAACAATACTCAAGATTTGGACAAACTGGACAACTAAGACCAATGATTATTTTAATAACTAATTCAAAATCATTTTCAGTGAAACTGCTCCCCAGTTTCTTATTTAAATCTGTAAAAAATTCTACAGAATTAGCACTATTTGTATTATTATTTGCTCTCTTGACATTATTCTAACTTGCATGAGACAGCAACTTATCATTTAACTGTTGACAATGCATAATAAAAAAGCACTTCACTACATGTATTTTGTTGATTTTTTAAATTAACATACACATACAGTTTTCCTTACACAGCTTATGAAATTCTTCATGCTAAAGTAACTTTAATCTAAGCTTATCAAAGTGCAAAAAAAAAGGAAAATGGAAATAAAGTTTTAATAATTATTTCTAAACTATGTCAGACACAGTTGTTTGAAATAAGCTAGTTTTAAGATAAACTGACATTAAAAATGTTTAAGAAATTTCTGTGCAGATATCCAGAACTAAATACCTGTTGCAGTATAACACATTGCCCAAAGGAATGGGATTGTGGGTGGGGGTGGGAGTGGGGATATCGGTTTATGACTCCTCATCTATAAGAGACACTATGTTGATTATGCAGGCAGAAAAGTTAGATACACTGTTTTTCTCTTTCATAAGAATACTTTGAAGAGTGAAGCCTCCTCTTCATACGTCGTGCTTCACTCCTCTGTAGTACTCTTATGAAATATATTAAGTATTGGAAAGATTCCTTAAAATAAGTGTTACTAAAGTATAATTAGCTTTCAGAGAAGGTCTGTGAAATATTGTAAAAGTCATTAGCCTATAGATCATGGGGAAGTGAATCTGCTGGAAGGTACCTAAGAAAAACAGAGCAAGAGAAAACCCTACTCTATTCAATTTAATGATAGAAATCTTAACTGGCCTCCCCATTGTCTTACCCAGGGTGCTTTCATGCAACCTCGTACGCAAAGTCACTAACTACAGTCATTAAAGTTTGTCCGAGAATTCTCACCAAACATACTAGCATTTTGCTAGACATTTTTAAATCATTTTGGCAAGGTTTTTTAGCATTTTGCTAG